TCCTTTGAATTCCTTCTCGGGAATCAGCATGAGTCAGCCGTTTATCTAATTTAGAGCATCAGGGAACACTCCCCAGTCCTGAGCCTTTCTGACTCGTGGCTTAACACATACTGTCATCTGTTTGCTGTGTTCTTACCTTGTGCCCCCAAAAGCAATTCCTTAGGATCAGATTTGTCCTTTTAGTGTTTGCTTACAACTCCAGTCTCCTGTCCTGTTCTCTGCTATAAACACATCCCAGTCGCACATAATCACTGACAGCATAAGCATCTTACAAAATCAAGGTGGTCCATAAACCTAGGAGCTGAGTCCAGAGAACACATCGTAGTTACATGGTGCAATGTCATACTAAACTGAACAAATGACCACCTGCAGAGATACTGAAGAACCAGCCCCTGTTACAAAGACCTAGGAAAAGGCCACTTCTCCCTGACTTTACCTTCTGAAGTCTTAAAAGGTTTGCTTTTGACCTGAACACATTTTATTTTTTGAAAGTGAAGCATTCCTCTTGGCATTTTATCTTTCTGCTTTTTAAAATTTACCAAAAGCCATTTAAAAAAAAAGTGGAAGTAAATGATCCTCTCTAAATCTATAGAGGCAGAAATGCAGGCAACCATTTAAGCTACCTGAGCCCATCTCAGAGCGTGTGGACTCAGTTCCTAACTCTGGCTCCCAAGGCCAGCCACCTGCCCATGCACATCCTCCTGGTGGCTCAAGCTCTGCCTCCCGACCTGGGAGACCTGCATTGATTTCCTGTCACAGCATTGGCCTCAGCCCAGCCCGACATGCTGAGCAGGCATGTTTGGAATGAATCAATGGACGGAAGATCTCTCTCTACTGAGAGAGAATGGGTTGATAGATGGCTGATTGATTGATAGATGAATAGATGTTATTTTCTGTCAAGCTAGTTAACAAAAAATAAACCTCTAAAAGCTCATTATCATTGTTCCTTTCATCCTCTCATCTTGTTTTATTCTTACTACAGCTCCGTGTTGAGAAATGTACTGCCTGGATCGAAAAATCCCAGGGGCCACAGTGGGGAATCCTAGATCTAGCCTCCATTCTCAGGCTTTTTGTTCCTGACTACTATAGCTTACCCCATAAGGACTGGGAGAAAAAGAATGAGTGAGATTATCTGCAGAGAAACACCCAGTGGGCACACTCTGCGTCAAAGCTACTGTTTTCCTGTAAGCGATGAAGGAGCTGTAGGCAGCTCAATGGAACCTAAAAGGAACAACCAGGACCAAGGTTGTTGTGGTTAAAAATCACTTTAAGAGATTATCTCAAAATGGAGTTTCATAACAAGGTTCTCCATTCCTTTTCAACTTTTCCACCTTTCATGAATAATTTTTGACCTTCTGTGCACCTGTTACCTGACTTCTTATCTAACCTTTTATCAAAAAAAAAAGTAAAGACCTGAAAGTTTCTTCAAACTTGTCCTGCATTTCCCTTATCTGGAACTTAGAATTTAATCAAAGCATCTTTTTTAAGTGGACTGTTTCCTTTTCATGGGAGCTTTTTAAAAGTACCAAATCATAGGGCATTTTCTTTTCTCATGGAGTCTGCTGGTCAGATTTTGTTTAAGCTAGTAATTAAATGCTTCTCCTCGTGGCCCCAAGCTCTCTGCCTTCTGACTTGCAACCCTGGTGTGAAAATCAATAGCCTCATTATCAGCATCTGCAGATGGAGGCTGAGCTCTCTGCATCTCCACTCCTGAGAAGCCATGGCCAGAACTGACTCCCTCCTTCTCGTCTTTTCTAGGCTCTGCAGTCTGTCAATTCCATTTTCCAGCAAAATCTGCGCTTTCCAGAAAAAAAGAATGATGTGGCTATATAGGCAGAAAAAGATAGGATTATGACTCACAAAACTGAAAAAGAAATGAAAAGTGACATGAAAACATTTGTTCTGTTTATATTTTCTTTATTTCATTACAAACTTTAGGCGTTCAGTCTTTAAAATTAGTTATTTTTGTACACAGTTGATGAATTAAAACCAGATTTCAGATGGCAATTTTGAGTTGACTGTTTAATTAATAGCATTAATAGGATGTGGTAAGCAAAAAAGCAGCTTGCCTGAAGGAGAAAATGCCTGGTAATATGCATAGCAACCAACATAATTTCAAAAGACAAATAGCATGCAAAAATCAACTAAAAATGGATTAAAGACTGATGCATAAGATCTAAAACCACGAAACAGAAGAAAACAGGGCACAAAGCTCCTTGCCGATGATTTTTGGATTTAACTCTAAAAACACAAAAGCAAAAATAAATGCATGGTACTATCAATCTAAAAGATCTCCGTGTACAGCAAAGGTGACAGTGAACTTGACGAAAAGGCAGCCTGTGAGCAGAAATTTTAGAATCCATCTGTAAAATATTAGTATTTAAAGACAACCATTGTTGAAAGGGGGTAGAAAAGAGGAAACCTTTGAACATTGTTGCCAGTCGTACAAATGAACACAACCATTATGGGAAACTATAGTTAGACACAGGTCTAACAAAGGCGGCCCCGTAATGCTGGACACCAGAAGTATTTCAAATTTCAGAGCTTTTCAATTTTTGGAATATTTGTATAGATTTTAGTGGTTGAGCAGCCCTAATTCAAAAATCTAAAGTCAGAAGACTCCAGACTCTGAAATATTTAGAGAAGAGACATCTAGCCAGTACAACCAAAGGAAATGAAACCCGAACCTCGAAGGTGGCACTCAGTCACGTGTTCTTGGAAGAACTCACAGCAGCTAACATAGGGAAAAACTTCGGTGTTCGTCAGTAGAGAAATGGATTTTTAAAAGTGTGTGTTTTGCATTTAGTTGCATGTGTATGTGTATAGAGAGATGTCACCTAACATATGCAAATGTATACACACAGGAATATTATCCAGCCCTAGGAAAGAATGCCTGCCGTTTGTGACAACCTGGGTTCATTTGGAGGACATTATGTTAAATGAAGCAGGCTTAAACTAACATAGGAAAAAAATCATGTATTATGTGGAATCTAAATAGTTTAACATGAAACTCATAGAGTAGACGGCATGTGGGAGTTATCAGGCTGGGTGAAAAAGGAGAGACACTGATCAAAAACTACAAATTATGACTTTTCAGTCCTACCTTTAGAAGAGCAAGTATTAGAAACCTGACATGCAGGCTGGTGACTAGTGAGTAGATCTTAGTTGTTCTCCCACAAATGTAACTTATGAGATGTAAGGTGATGCATTTGTTGGTCAGCTTCATTGTGGGAATAATTTTACAATGTATGTGTATATATCAAAATATAATGTATACATTTCAACAATAGGGCCTGGGGCAGTAGCCTAGTGGCTGGAGTCCTGCCTTGCAGGTCCCGGGGTCCCATCTGCACGTCAGTTCATGTCCTGGTAGCCCCACTCCCATCCAACTCCCTGTTGTAGCCTATGAAAGCAGTTGAGATTAGCCCAAAGCCTTGGGTCCCTACACCTGCCTGGGAGGCTCCTGGCTCCTGGCTTCAGATCAGCGTAGCTCTGGCTGTTGCAGCCACTTGAGCGAACCAGCAGACAAAAGATCTTCCTCTCTGTCTCCCCTCCTCTCTATATATCAGACTTTCCAATAAAAATGAATAAAATCTTAAAAAACAAAAGACATGTTAACAAAAAAGCCTGAAGAAACTGTTAATACCAGGTGAAAAGAAAGGAAGGAACGGAGGGAAGGACGGAAAGAAAATAGCAGCCAATTTACCTGCACCCATGGAGTCGGAAGGCTAGTTGGAATTCATTGTGACTTCTACTTTGATACTCGCACTGCCCAATGCTCTTTTTTTCTTTTATTAGTGATGTTCAGACAAATATAGAAATGTAGGATCATTTCTTAAGTTGCCAGTGATTCTTCTCAGCTTCCTCCATCTTAAAGGAAAAATGCATTTTAGGAATAAATAATAGTCACATTTCTCTAACTGCCTTCCATTTTCTGCTTTTAACCCTATCACAAGTATCACATATTAGTACCCCCATAATCAGTTTAAGAAAGAAGATGTTCTTATTATAATAGTAGCCACTTAGAGTCGGTACATTTCCTCCACTGGTTCATACTCGCAGTTAATATTAACTGTCTCTAGATCAGGAATCCACACGCTTTCCCTCTGAGAAGCAGACGGTACAGCCTTAGGGCCCTCCGGTCTGTGCTGCAGCTGCTCAGCTCTGACCTCTGCCATTTAGTGCAGCAGCAGTCCAGACAACATGGAGACAAATAAGTATCGATGGGGCTCCAACACATTTATCAGCAAAGACAGAAGGATCAGGCATCTGAGGCAGTGGTTAGAACGCAGAGTTACTCTCATCGCACAGAGTGTGTGGCTAGAATCCCAGACATTCTGCTCCTGATCCAGCTTCCTGCTTCATGCACACCATGGGAGGCAGCAGATGATGACCCAGCGACATTGATTTTGGTCCCCCACGTGGGAGACCCAGATGGAATCCCTAGCCCTTGGCTTTGGTCTGGCCAGTCCAGCCTGTTGCAGGCATTTGAGGAATAAAACCAGTCAATAGGAAATCTCTGTGTCTCTTTCATTCAAATAAACAAAAGGAATTATTATGTTTAAAAGAATAAGTAGGAGACTGGATTTGGTTTGCCCAAGATAAATATGCTGCATTATTGGCCAAATCTTACTCTAAACCGAAATAAGCTATCAGTGAATATTACTCTAAAATGAATTATATTTTTGTATCAATCTTTCCAATTAATATAAAGCCTGTTGTCCATATATCCTCTGACTTTATTTATTATTTTGTACTCATGTTTTATGGTGTTTAAATTTTCATTTAATTGCAGTATTTGTTCTGAATCTGACAGTAAACATTCGTGATGATCAGTTTACTGGAACGTAACCCTTCCCTTCAGAGTGAATGGAGCCTAATCAGCCTCATTGGTGTTTGGATCTTTTCTTTTTTTTCATTTGAATGGGATAGTAACAAACACTAGTGACAATGAGCTTACTGCAGTGTGGCCATTCTGTCTCCTTCTCTTTGTTCTCTAGGCCCTGGAAAGTCACTGCAGAGTGAATGGAGGCTACTCGGGCCTCAGGGACGTTTACTTCACCCATGAGAAATACGATAATGTGCAGCAGAGTTTTTTCCTAGCAGAGACATTAAAGTAAGTGGAAACGGTTCTAAAAGTATGTGACTACGGTACCTGAGCAAATCTTTGTAGATATCATTACCGTGAATACATTCATATCACATCAATATGACTGACTCACCATGCCCTTCTGCATGCACAGTAATTGCAGGTGTGTTTTTAAACCTGGATGAATTTGATGAGTTGGGATGGCTTAGTATCTCTCACCCGTCATACCAAAGCACATGTTAGGTTCCTTATTCCACTTGAGTATGTGACCTGGGGGATGTCATAACGCCGCCTCCACAAGGTGACTCCAAGAGAGAGATATTGTTTTACTGTCATTTTGATTTCTCTACCTGCTGTATTCTGCTGGGTCTCATACACTCTTCTTTTTCTCACCAGATATTTGTACTTAATATTTTCTGATGATGATCTTCTTCCACTGGAACATTGGATCTTCAATACGGAGGCACATCTTCTCCCTATCCTCCCTACAGAACAAAAGGAAGTTGAGGTTAAAGAGAAATAATAAGAGATTTTATATTAGACTCTGCTCCATTCCCTTCACTGCATACCTTAATAAGTCCTTTTCTGATAATCAGACACATGAACTCTTATTAATGTCTGTGTTACTCTAAGTTGTAAAACTGTTTTTGCAGTCTTTTATGTTTGCTACCATAGCATAATTGGACCTGAATTCTTGATTGTGTCCTCTGTTATTCAGTCAGTGGATCCACAGGTTTTTATTATAAGTAATCTATTATCTCTGGAATTTAGGAAGGAATAATAATGGTTTTTATGAAGCTGGATGTAATGGTATACCAGTGACCTCTTAATTATAATTTGATTTGACTGCAAAAAGTTTTCCTCCTCTATGAGGAGATGATGTCTGCTTTAAGCTGTAATGTTTTGCCATGTTGCAAAAAGCCATAATAATAAATTAAGTATTAAAAAGCTTTTTCCTTTTCAATTTCTTGTGAACCTGGTTTGTCTATCCACCAGAGACAGATCTTATAACTGTGACAGCCTCCTTAAGCAGGTCTATCATTATTTGATAGAATATCCTCTAAAATATGTCACTCACGTTGTAATTCAAATTAGAATGTCATCCCCAAAGGCTCATCTCGTGTTGACCTCATTCCATTAGAATTGCAGGATATTTTTGTCGGTTCGTTGTATTAGTGTTCCCCAGTTTGTGACTCTGTTCTCTACTTATTTTGAATGCTGTGTGTCACTTCTGGATCATGTGCTTCCTAATTTCTTCCAACCCCCACTACACAGCAAGGTGAATAAGCTTTGCAGAGCGCTGCTGTCACTAATTGTAGTTTCTAAATGAAACTGATGCCATTTTCAGTGGGGCTTTGTCTTTTGCTTTTACCTGGAGATATATAAGGAAATTGGGTCTCTGAAAAGAGAGAATTTTATATGGCCTTAGTTCATTTGTTTATGGCTCATCGTTTGTGTGTGTGTGTGTAAAGCATTCCATTGGAGTCAAGTTTGAAAAGTTCCCTTTCTTAAACATACTGATTTGTTTCATTTTGGTTTATGAAAATGATATTTGACTCTGAAAGAACTTTTGCAGATTTGTTTATTCATGACAATTAAGAAAAATATAATAATCTTTTGGGCCAAATAAGAACTTACCTGTGGTTAGAAGCAGCTTATAGGAATGGACACTGTCAGTTCCCCACAATTTGATCTGCAGCTGCTCAAGGTAATGACATGGATCTTTTAAACATTAAGTTGTGAACTCTGAGTGGTTTTCCCAAGAATGAATTGATGGCACTTCGTGTTCTCTTATCATTGATTCATATGATACCTGTTTCCCATTAAAAAAAAGGCTGATACGATGATGTACATTCTGAGGCATGACTTAACTTAAATTCGCAACCTACACTGATCAAACAGATCAGTGCAACCTTGTGGATTAGGCTGAAACATATGAAATTGCTGCATTTGTAGTATAAAAACCGCCCTTATCAGCAGTTTAATACAGTGCAAACTAATAATAAAAAAGACACTTAGTTTCTTGGCTGCCAGCAAACTTAAATAGTTTTAATGTTTCAGCCTTTAAAAATGTTCCAAAACATTACCTGTGACAGGGTCACATTGTATGACCTCCTTTTCTCCGCCTCCCCCCCCAACTCCAGCATTGTACATCGGTATGTCGAAGAATAAATTAGTAAAATTAGCCAAAAGCTCATCAAAGCCATGTTCATGTTCTCTGTAACCACAATAGCTTTTCACACTCATTGTTTCAGCTCTCTTAATGAAACAAATGATAGTTCCCTTTTTTCCAGAACTTAAAGTCAGCCTACAAAAGTTATTATCAGTATTAGGCCACATGTGTTTACAGTGTAATTTTCATATTAATATCCTTGAATTAATCATTGAAATTAGTTCATTTTCTTTGCTTTCCACTTTGATTTGGAAGAGCACATTGAACTGATAAGTATTTTGCAGCAGATAGGGTTTAAAGCCGAGCGGTATATACAAACTGCAATACAATGTCCTATTTGTATCCTAATGTAAGTAGACAAGAAATCATACTGCTTGCCCCCTCTGCCAAAGGCAAGAATAGAATTTCTTGTTTTAGAGCTCAGATTATTTTAGCCCAAGTCCCAAAACACCAAAAATGTAAGCAAGGAAAAAGAATAGTATTAGGAGATACAATTTAATTAAAGTTATGTTTTTGTGTTAATTATTTTAGACAGCTGAAGTCTTTAAGTAAACAGTATCTTTGATTCATTTTCAACAAAACTGTGCAGTTGAATTTACACATATATTCACATCTTGAAGGATGAACAATTAAATTAGCACTTCATTTTGTTTATACAATGTTTTTATATACCCTGTGCAATTAATATTACATATATAAGTTGTATGCCGATGTAAGATCTCATGACTATCATGACTTTCTCATGTATATTATCCATTTTTACATTGACTGTTTCTTATTTGTACATAAACCCATCCTGTCATTTCCAACTTTATACAAATCTCTAATGTTATGGAAACAATAGATTGACACATAATTTTTAAAAATTATATTTGTAAAATTTCTCTATTGTGAATAAAGTCTTTTAATATAGCTCCTCATGTGTTGTGTTTTTCTCTTTTCAAAGAAGCTTCAGCTGTATCTGGAGGTGATTGTGTACAGCTGGAAGTGGAATTACATACCACACCTGAAATGTAGACAGGGAAATGTTAACATTGCAGATTCCTTTCCTTAGTTATCTATTGTCTGTCCAACCCATTAGTATTTAAACTCAGTGAGAACAGAAACTTAACTTCGTTTGGCCTACCCAAGCCCCCATCCATGATTCCAGTGCCAAAAGGACCACCAGACACTTGGCAGCATAAAATCATTGTCTGATGAGCCAGTTCAGGAATAAATGAGACCCTACCTGATATTCAGGGACTTTGTTGCAACTATCTGCAAGTGTATCTTAATCAGCAAGTTTTTTTTTTTAATATGAGTAAGTTTTTATGACTGGAGTCAACTGTTAATCAACACATTTTTAAACTTATCATATCACTAAGAAATAATGTATGGTCCTATGTAAAAATATGAAACAAAAAAACTGAAAATTCATGAAGTCATAATTGTATCAATATTGTTTTCTACATGTTGCTATTTAGATATCTATCATTGTCTTAGATGGCTTGATCTCACAGTCCTTCTGCACATACATGGGTGGACGGCTTGATGAATGCATACATCTAAATGACCATCTTAGCAGGATCAAGCCAAGGAATTGTTTTCTTAACTAACACAGAATTGACCAAAAACCTTCTGAATTCAGTTATTTATAACCAAAGTCACAGTGATAATTCTTAAAATTTCATTCAAATGTGATTTTAACTTAACACTAATCACAAGCCCTTTAGAGAAATGACAGCCTGACGACTAGTACATCTGCCTTTAGATGAAGATCTGTGTAGGCAGTTGAGATATACACACACACACACACACACACACATATATATATAAACTCTGTTGGCATAAAGAATGATTTCTGTTTTTTAGACCCATTCCACCCACACTAGCCAATACATGAGTCATTATTTCTTTTTGTAGGGTTTATGTATTTGAAAGAATTACATAGAGAGGCATAGATACAGAGCAAATGAAAGAGAGAAAATTTTCCTTGTGCTAGTTTACTCTCAGATGGTTGCAATGACAAGGGATAGGCTAGGCCAAAGCCACAGCAGGGGCTTCCTCTAGGTCTCACGCGGGTACAGGACCAAAGTAGTTGCATCATCTTCCATTGCTGTTCCCACCATCAGCAGAGAATTGGATCATAAGTGTGTAGCAACCATGATGTGAACCGGCACCCATGTGGGATGCTCTGCCACAACGTTGGCCCAGTCATTCTCAGGAAATATATGTCAGATATCAGATATGCATTTGAAGAATTAGAACTGCATGAGAGTCTAGACTGCATTTAACTCTCTTATTTTAAAATGGAAAAATTGGGACATTTCCCCAATTTCAGAAACTATTTCTCTACCCTTACTTTGAACTGCCAGACACAGGAATTTGGCAGGATTTTACACTAACTTAGAAACGTGGACTATGGGTATATTTAGTATGTCCAATTAGCCACACCAAGATAAGGATATGAACCCGTATGTTGCCCTTAGCAGTTGATCTACATTGTTTCTGTGTCAAAGTGTAGGAGAGTTTCTTGCAAGGCTTATTAAAATGCAGATCCAGAGACCTCCCTTTAATTTAACAAATCAAAAATAGTAGGATCTTAGAATATCCATGATATACTACCTCTATTATTCATATGCATATTAAAGTTGAGAACAACAATTTTTTAATTTATAGGTGGACAGAAGTTCCGTCTAACTCAATGAGTTTATTAGAAAGTAAAGACAAATGCATGTATTTTCTGTGTGTTTTTGCTTTTATATTCCAAGGTTTAAGTACTTGATACAAGCTTGGTCACTTGGGAAACACATTCACTATTTCACAAAAGCATTCGTGAGCAATAAGCTGTGTGCCTAACTTCCGAAACTGATTCACACTGGATTTGTAAACATAATTCTTTCTTATTAGAGGAATTTCAAAATTATTTAACTTCAGTCTTTCGTGTTTTTAATCAGGGACTGTTTTGGTTACTTGCTTCCTCCAGCAGCTGCTTTTAAAGTCATCTCTCCATTTGCTGTTTCTGTGCTTGTTAAGGTCAACATGAGTGTCCTTCACACGGAATCCCTGGTTCGGCTATGCCGCACGTAAATGTGTAAAATGTTCTTGCTAGTGACCTCTGAAGATCACCTTCCGTTGCTTCCTCCCTGCTCCTCTCCCCCCACCTCAGCCCCATGTTTTTACATCTATTGCAATGCTAATCAGAGATTTGTTAGCTTGCCATTATTATGATCACTTTGAATCCCTTTAAAACATGCCATTACTTACTGAATAAATTAACTTAAATTTGTGTCACAGATCCATTTAACTCTCCAGTGAATGCAAATTACCCTGAAACATTAGGAAACGGTGCTAGACATATAGCTTTATGAAAAACTTTATACTGGGGTATTTTGGCCTCAGGCTATGAGCACGTATTAATTCACAACTCTTCAGAGCTGTGTGCTGCTTTTCAAACAGAAGCTTCCACAGTGGCTGGCACAACACTTGTTTGTTATGTTTCGCTTCTAAACTCTTCCCGGAGAAATGTGCATGATCCCCATAGACAAAATCTGGGAACTTGATTTTGGACTTTCCAGTCCTTTGGGAATTTTTTTGTGGAAAATCAAACACACCTTACATAATCACCTCTTAGAATCAAGGCAAGAGGTCTCGATAACATCTTCTTCCGGTAGGCACGATGCAATTGGTTTGTTTCTGTGTATGTCAAAGCCTTGACTGCTTGTAACCACAGAGCATAGCAAGCAACAAGAAGTGAACAACCTCTTCCTTTGCAAAGGCGTCTCTTCCTGTCAGTCAGCACAGCACTTGAGCCCAACTGGCTAAACAAACTGCGTGCACTCAAACATTAGTCACCTTCCTTTCCCATCTTACTTTTGCCAAATGGATAATTTTTTTATTTAGGTAGTTTTTTCCAAGGTCTGCAAATGTGTACACATTTTCAATGCCCCCACTATAGGAAAGGGAAAGAAAGTAGGAGCAATTGAGCCAATGAGAAACATTTCACTGGGAAGTGAGATCATTGGATTTATTTCTTTATTTTTTAAACATTTATTTTAATTGGAAAGGCAGATTTACAAAGAAGAAAGGAGAGAATGACCTTCCGTCTGCTGGTTTACTCCCCAAATGACAGCCGGAGTTGAGCTCAGCTGAACCCTGGACCTTCTTCTTGGTCTCCCACATGGGTGCGGCGTCCCAAGAACCTCCTCTTCTTTCCCAGGCCACAAACCAGCCGTCCTCCACAAACCCTTTCTCCTGTGTGAGACAATGCTTGGAGGTAGAGGATTAACCAGTTGAGCCATTGCACAGGCCTTGAGATGATTGGATTTCAAACTCGGCACTGTTAGCTTGATGTGTGTTTTGAGGCAAACCCTTGGACTCTTAATATCCCAGTGTCCTTGTCTGCAGAATGAGAGGTGTGGTGAGCCCAGGCATAGCAGTGAGACTGCATTGGGTGCTGCTTGCTATAGATGTTCAAATGAAATATAGCAATAGGATGCTGTACTGTGTCATTGTGCCTATAATGTCATGGCACACTTTAATAGAAGAATGATGGACTTGTGATTGTTGCTAAAGGACTATACTATTGTAATAATATAGGGGAAAACTGTGGGAGGGGAGTCGAGGAGAGTTGAAGGGGACATACCAGTGGAACTGTATCATGAAAAACAAAAATAATTTTTTTAGAAAACTTTAAAAGCTCGTGGAATCGCTTTAGCACAGAAGAGACCATAGAACAGACATCCCAGCAATTTCTCATTCATAGACCTGAGACCACCACACCCAAGTTACAAGACAGCCAAATATCAATGTCCTCAACCATAAGACGAGAGCAATCGTGTCTGCTCGCCAGGCAATTAACATCACTGATATTAGTAAAGTCCTCAGCGCCGTGCCTGACAGCGTTCTGCTTTCAGTCCAGGAGTTGCAGCTCCACTTTCAGCTCTTTTCACTGTATGAAAAACAGCATATTTTCTCTCTCTCTTGGGATACCTCCAAGTTGTTTTGTTATGACAACACATTCGTTATTATTTTGCTTGCCATTTCCAACTACCCTAGGATTTCTGGATGACTTCGCTCAATCAGCCTGCTTCAAGCACATGTTGTTACTCATCTGCTAAGATTAGAGTTCAGCTCTTATTTTCTAACATGCGAAGGCAGACATAGGCAGTTCTGCCTCCTGACACCTGTATCATGCACTCGATAAACATCTTTCCAGGTACTTTTCATTGAATAACAGGGAATATCCTTGTAGTCAAACCACATGATTGTGATGCTGATACGAATATTATTATTGTTACCATTGATTTGCACCCCCCAAGAACTTGTTCTTTCAATGATGAAGAATGTGGCCCATGAACCAGCAAAGGAGAAGGTAATTTTAGCTAAGTTTACGTGAGACAATGAAGAGAAATACCTACACCTCCTACAGACTAAGAGCAGTCTGTACTCAGACTGGGCTGTTTGTGAATGTGAATATGGGCCTCCCATGTTCCCCTCTTCCTTTTTCTGTGCAAGTTTGATTGGGAGGAGATTTGGATCTGGAATTCACCTAAACAGACCTCATTCAGACAATACTGATCACCTCGGTTCTTATCTATCAAAGAAACAAATGACTCCTTGAGCCCAATGATTCCGACTTAGACCAGCTATATGCTTCCTCAATTCAGTGACTTCCTTTTGCTAAGGGACAGCCAATGACAACTGCAGCGAGGTGAACAGACGAGAGGCCAGGTTCTGCTTTCAGCACTCGTTTCCTTGTTCCATTGCACATGAATTCATTTTCTTTAGTCTCTTTTACACACATAGCCTAATTTTTACATAGTTGCCTTAACATTATCATCTATGTTATTTGTGTATTCATATAATCTAATGACTGCAGCAATGAAGTTCTCTGTTTAGATGGAAGGGCAGTCTTATTTGCATCCCAGAGT